GACGGAAAATGGAAAATTCAGGGGCAGGTCCCATTTGGTAAGAGCACTCTGTCTTTTCCTAGAGATGTTGGACAGATGTGGACGATAGCGGGAATATCGGTATCGATCCGATGCCAACTAAATACAGGGTCAGTATTGCGGACATCGATAATGATACTTTTTTACGTATAAGCCTAAAGCATCATGAAACTTTTGACCACTTTGGAGTTTTCATCATTTTTACTGGTTGAATAAAATTGAACAAGGGACAATTGAACATTGACCTAACAAAGTTTCTGATCATTTTAAAACAAAATCATACCACAAAAATAAATTTGCACACGACAACATACACTCACCGGCCACTTTATTAGGTACACCTGTCCAACTGCTCGTTAACACTTAATTTCTAAGCAGCCAATCACATGGTGGCAACTCAGTGCATTTAGGCATGTAGACATGGTCAAGACAATCTCCTGCAGTTCAAAGCGAGCATCAGTATGGGGAAGAAAGGTGATTTGAGTGACTTTGAACGTGGCATGATTGTTGGTGCCAGAAGGGCTGGTCTGAGTATTTCAGAAACTGCTGATCTACTGGGATTTTCACGCACAACCATCTCTAGAGTTTACAGAGAATGGTCCAAAAAAGAAAAAACATCCAGTGAGCGGCAGTTCTGTGGGCGGAAATGCCTTGTTGATGCCAGAGGTCAGAGGAGAATGGCCAGACTGGTTCGAGATGATAGAAGGGCAACAGTGACTCAAATAACCACCCGTTACAATCAAGGTGGGCAGAAGAGTATTTCTGAACGCACAGTACGTCGAACTTTGAGGCAGATGGGCTACAGCAGCAGAAGACCACACCGGGTGCCACTCCTTTCAGCTAAGAACAGGAAACTGAGGCTACAATTTGCACAAGCTCATCGAAATTGGACAATAGAAGATTGGAAAAACGTTGCCTGGTCTGATGAGTCTCGATTTCTGCTGCGACATTCGGATGGTAGGGTCAGAATTTGGCGTCTACAACATGAAAGCATGGATCCATCCTGCCTTGTATCAACGGTTCAGGCTGGTGGTGGTGGTGTCATGGTGTGGGGAATGTTTTCTTGGCACTCTTTGGGCCCCTTGGTACCAATTGAGCATCGTTGCAACGCCACAGCCTACCTGAGTATTGTTGCTGACCATGTCCATCCCTTTATGACCACAATGTACCCAACTTCTGATGGCTACTTTCAGCAGGATAATGTGCCATGTCATAAAGCTGGAATCATCTCAGACTGGTTTCTTGAACACGACAATGAGTTCACTGTACTCAAATGGCCTCCACAGTCACAAGATCTCAATCCAATAGAGCATCTTTGGGATGTGGTGGAACAAGAGATTCGCATCATGGATGTGCAGCTGACAAATCTGCGGCAACTGTGTGATGCCATCATGTCAATATGGACCAAACTCCCTGAGGAATGCTTCCAGCACCTTGTTGAATCTATGCCACGAAGAATTGAGGCAGTTCTGAAGGCAAAAGGGGGTCCAACCTGTTACTAGCATGGTGTACTTAATAAAGTGGCCGGTTAGTGTATATTTCTGTTTAGCTGGTCCTGTTGAGCATATTAACATAAGGATTGGTATTGATATTATTGATACTAGGATGGATCCGCCCACCTCTAATGTTTGCAAAGCTGTTTTATGACAGGATGGTATCTGTATATTATGTGCTGTGAATCCTTCAGATATTTTGGCCTTATCCACACCAAGACGAGATCAGGTGCAACTGCAAGGATATTTGACTGTTCAAACTGTGTATATAAAGATACCTGGCATTTTGGGTGAGCAAGGGAGATCTTTTTTGAAACCAGGTCCCAGAGTTGAAAAAAGAAAATGTTGGTTCCGTGTTTTATTGTGGACATTTGTGCTGCATCGTTTTTAAAAAGACATGTAGCTCAGTCTATCTCTGTAAACCTCATGCACCTCATTGCTACAATGTTGATGTGTCTGGGCAGGTCCCAGTGTTTTTGTTAGGAGTTAGGGTGTGATATCATGGCTTCAATTCATTTTCATTTACTGAAAAATAAAAACCATCCAAACTGGCTGATTTAAAATCAGCACCAACAATTACCATCAAGTGTTACTGAACATGACCTGGTTGTATAAGGCCATGCCAAAGCCTCTCAACCAGATTTAGGTCCAGACTGGAACTATGCCTCTCCAGTTAATTTATTTAGAATCCAAAAAGAATGAGGTCAGAAACTCTAATCTGCAAAAACCTCCTTGAAGATTTTCTTCTAGAGAGCAGAAATTATTGTTCTATCAATTGTAGTAAGTTACCAAAGTCTTAAATCATCAGCTCTTAGTTTACTTATCAAATTGAATCAGTGTCTTTTACCTAAATCTGAGAAAGTACTCCATCAAACTTATTGGTCAGTTTTGAGCTTTGAAGTCATACGTGGGTAGAATGACCCCCCCCCCCCCCCCCCCAGTCAGTTTCTTACAAACACAGACCATATCTGAGGTGAAGGAGGACTGTAGTCCTTCAGATGCTGACCTGGGCTCTCCTGCTACCTCCAGGTGAGTTATAATTACAAAGCTTTTTGGCCGTTTTATGATTGATAGGTGTTGGTTTGTTTATCTTTTCTTGAATTTCTTTAAGTCAGGGCAAGAAGGGCTGCTATTTGAGATCCTGTAGCCTACTTCATGTTGTCAGGCAGGTTCTGTTCAAGTGATTTCTTAATTCTACAGGCAATAATAAGCCATGGGTGGGGCTTAAGAATGATAACCTCAAAAATTTTTAATTGAAAGTATCAGGTGTGGAAAGCGTAATGTTACGTTTTGAACAAAACTAAGTTTAGTTTGCCGAGTTTAGTTTGAATAGCTTCTCTGTGAGTATGGTGGGTCTGTTAAATTAGTGTTTTCAGAGTAAGTTCAGAGCTGAACGTTTCAAAGCAATGTAGCCTTTAAATAATACAAATTGATCTCACATTGTAGAAACTTAGCTCTGCATTTAACCCATTCCCTTGGGGAGCAGTGGGCTGCCACTGTGCAGCACCCGTGGAGCCATCGAGGGTTAAGGGTCTTGCTCAGAGACCCAGACTGCAGGCTGTGGGGATGGAACCAGGTTCTTGCAACCTACTCACATTTTACATTTCAATAGAAATATGGGAAATTTTGCAGTTCGGATGTAAAATAGGCTCCTGTTTTGAAATTCAGCTTGTCAACAGCGTATTTAACCATTTGGACAATCATCCCTTTATGTCCACACCTGACACACAGCTTAGTGACCACGATCAAAAAGCTCAGGGTGAAGCAGTGGTATTTTTTTCTACAACTATGCAGCTTTGATTAAAACACCATAAAAAGTGCAGAGCAAAAAACTTGTTAATTTCCCACTTGTTAATATTAGTAATCTAGCATTTATGTCTGAAACAGAAATTGTAATATTTATTCTCTCTAGTGCAGCTGCATTAATATAAATTACACGTATCGATTAAATATAACCTTAAATCTAATTTTTAACCGTTTCTTAAAAGGTGATTGTTAAGCAATACTTAAAAGTATACTGACCTAAACCTTCAGGACTTTCATAAGGACAACAAGTTCAGACCTGTTTATTCAAAAGATGAAATTTTATGACTTTATTCTATAATTCTCAACACCAGTTTGTTTCAGAGCATATTTTTTATTTTACTTTAAGAAAATAGAATATATAGACATTTACACAAACTCAACAATGTCAGAACACACTCTTTCAGTATAAATATAAGAAAACATAAAAGACAAAAATTAAAAGCATTAAAAGGAATTCAGCTTCAGCATCCATGACGGCTAACAGACCTTTAGCAGTGAGGGATGGAATAATTCATAACAAAACAACAGGCTCTTCAGGGGAAACTCAAAATCCTCAGCAGGAGGTTTGGTGCAGAGGCTTAGATAAACTGATTATTCAGCCCCCTTCAAATCCTCAGACTTTAATCACAGATCAGTTCTGCTGATCATGTTCTGAAAGTAATCTGCAGTTTCATGCATTGCAGGCTTTTATCATCACTTTGGTTCTTTCCTGCAGGTTCTCAAAATATATAAATTAAAAAGGTAGTAAACAGATTTACGCAGTTAAATTAATTGGACACATGGGATGCTTGAACTTAAGGAGCACAGATAACTTCAATCAATCATGTTTACTAATGACACAAATGCAGTATTTGGGAGCTAAGTAGTTTAGCAACTGAATCGTTTGACATCTTATGCTTTTATTAATTATAGACACATATTTAATCCGTACTAAACAGGAGTTTTCACAATATTTCAAAAAGTTGTAATTTAAGGAAAAATAGGTTTAATGGGTGATGCCAAACACTTTTAGTTACAACTTTTTCTGTTTGAAGAATAAATTTGTGTCCATCGTTATTCACTGCAATTCCTGCAAACAGGAACTTAACCTGGAGTTCAAACAAGATGTTTTTTTATGCTAAAAAGGCATAAATATATAAATGCATATTTATACACCTATGTATAAATATATATATATAAAAAATGCAAAAAAAATCAGATTCAGCATTAGAGCATGTAAAGTAAAAAAAAAAAAAGATGCAAAAAGGAAAATTACTGACACAGTATGGATACAATCATCGTTTAGCAGAGTTTTTCAAACATTGGAGAAACCACATGTTTAATAAGACTAAACTAGATAAACAGAATGTTTCTAATTAAGAATAATCAGATTTTTGTAGCGGTTTGAAACTCGAATTACCCGAAATACAACTAAGATTAAAAGTGATGGAACATTGGCAGCATCCACATTATTGTTTTAGAAGATTTGATGCTTCCTAATCTGGACTATAGTCTATTTGGTATCACCACAATAAAGACAATACATCACCCATATAAAATATAATAGACAGAAATTTATATCTTCTGTTATTTTAGAAAAAGAAGATTATTCAGAAGTATAACACCATTATAATTTGCATAGATGTTTGGCATTACCATGTTATGTTCTACACAAACATGGAGCATAAAGTGATTCACAGCCCAGGTTATCCAGAATGTTTAGTCCTTAGGAGCTGACTTAGGTGCTGAAACCAAGCAAATCAACAGAAAGTAGAGCTTTAGAAAAAAAAAAGGGACTGGAAAAGATGCAACAGGCATAACTGCAGCCTAGAGGGGATTAGAAAGTGAAAGCCTTTCAAAGATAGGAGATCCAAGCATTTCAACAAAAAAAGTTAAGTGGAAGGAAAAAGTGTGATTGAAAACAAACCAAGAAGACAGTGGAAGGACCAAAGAGGCATTTCGTGTTTTAGGAGCCACAGCAGTGGTCAGAGAATGAGCTGGATGGGCTAGTGTTGAAATAAAATTTTTAGAAGTGTCTCATTTGTGCTATGGAGGGGTAAATCTGGACTGGTGGTTATTTGTCCCAGGTGATGGAGAAGCAAACATGTCTGCCCTGAACACCATAGAAACAAGAGGAAAAGGAAGACGTCAAACACAACAAAGCAGAAGGACAAAAGGCACGATAAAAAGCAACCTGGGCTTCCTGAACACTTCAGCAGAACCACAGGGTTATCCCCTCCATCCCACACCGTATTGATGTAGTAATTAGTGAACAAGGGGCTTAGAGCTGGTATTAATTGGACATTAATCTATTAAAAATCCTAATCTAAGTGATCAAATGTAATACACTCATTTTGTGAGAAACAAAATTCTAAATCATAACCAATAAAAAAACCAGAAGCTAATAATGGGAATATAAAGCCCTCTACTAAGAATAGGTGTCTATTTAAAAATGTAATTAATTAAATAATTTGAGTTTTCATTAATATCCATTTTACTGAACATTAAGTTTTGTTCCTTTTGTTGTTGGTCTAAAAAAAAAAAAGTGAGGTAACATTGTGGAGTGATGTTCAGATGAGTTATATTGATATAAGCCAGAAGTGAGAATCCCCAGCTTTAATGCACGTGTCCCAGGATTGGGCCCTTCTCTATGACTGCATGAGAAGGTGAAGCTTCTGCTGGATGATGTCAGAGTTCATGGTCCAGAGGAACTCTGTCAATCCTCCTCTGAGCAGCTCCTCCATGGGAACAAACTGCAACACCTGTCTGTCACCTGCATGTTGTTGGTTTTTACCCCCCTCTCCTCCTCCTCCCATCAGCTGATGGATGCTTTTCTGCACATCACTCAGAATTGGGAGCAATGGGGCAGCTAATTCAGGACAGTAGCCGGCGCACATTAGCAAGGCCCCAACCCCACCAGAGGGGGGTGGACACCTGTAGGAGACCGAGCGAAAACACACATGGAGGCAGAACACCAGGGCTGCAGTGACTCGAGTCAGAGCAGAAAAGAGTGGCAGCAGCAGGGCACCGCCTGAGCTCAGGGTTTGGAGAGAAAACAACACGCATCCTAGAAGCTGGTGCTGGTATAGAGGCTCCCCATCATGCAGAGGGATGCAGCCTGTTTGGGGAAATGATGGCTCTTCACAGAATGTGAGAACTAAATCTTCTTGCTTGCTTTCACCATCAGCCCAGGCTGAGCGGCTGCCAAACACCAGACACGGTTTCTTCTCTTTGTTCCCCTCATAGCCTTTAAAGATACAAAGACCTGCAGCTTCAGACATAATAGAAGCTGTGCAAGACACGTGGCAGGAGCGACAGGGCGCCAGAAGAGTCCAGTCTACCACTGCATCCAGCAGGGCTTCGTTCAGGTGGTTTAACAGCCCTACGTCACAGAACGGAGAGTTTCTGACTGCTGAAAGCGCCGATCCAGTGATAATATACCACGAATCTATATGACTGCTGGACCAGGGTCCTTCTAAAATGCAGCCCACCCCTCGTTCTTCAGTGCAGTGACTCTGTATTAGCGTAGCGTGGCTGCTCCTCCATATTCTTTCCCTCCAGCTCAGGTTCTGCAGCTCTCTCCTCTCGTTGAACGAGCCTGTTTGCTTCTTCTGGCTTAGAGGTCGACCTGCAGACACACTGCAGCAGGCAGGACTCACCGTGTTCCGAGATATCCACCGACTTTTGGGAAGAAAGCTCACCTACACACAGAAACACTTAAATCAAACTCGTATCCAGATGAGACAAAACAGACCAGAATAAATGCTAGAATCTAAGGCAACGTTCACACTGCAGACCTTAATGCTCAATTCAGATTTTTTTGTGAAATGCAATTTTTTTTGCGTTGCCGTTCACATTTCCAAATATATGCAACTTGTATGTGATCTCCTGTGTGAACTGCATTCATACAACGCGAGTGTGATGGATCCTCCCTGCGTTCACGGCTACGAGCAACAAACTTCCTAGCAGACATGACACTGAATCTGATGCGACTGAAAATCTTCTTTTTCTTTTTTCCTCTCATTTATTTATCTATTCTGCTTTTTTGGCAGGCGGTACACAGCAGTTAGGTGGATGCCACGATCAAAAAAAAGTATTTTTATGCAGGCCTGGTGCCTCTGGGTGCATTGCTGCCCTCCTCAGCACACTAGCTTGTGACATTTCATGGGCATTATGCTGCTATGCGTTTTGCACAAGTTAGGCTGTCGTTGGACATAACTTCTGGACTCGTTATGAATACACTTTGTATACGCCCAAAATTTTAAAAAAGAAAATATAGAAAGTTCAGCGTATGCCAGTATTTTAGGAGAGATTCTGGGATGTCCGCCATATGCTGGCTAAATTGTCAAGGTGTGACGGGGGCTTAATCTATTTTTAAGATTGTTCTGTTTTTATTGCTGTGGCAATGTATGTGATGAAAAATGATCCATCAATACATTTTAAAAAGGCTCAAACTAAGGCCCCGTCCACACGAAGTCAAAACGAACACGAAACGCTGATATTTTCCAAAACGTTTGCCGTAAAGACGGAGACGTAAAATAAATGTGAGCGTCCACACGAATGCATGAAAACGCTGCAAAATGTATGCCAGGCCTGTAAGTGGCGCTGTGGTGCTAAAGCAAAAATAAGCGACGAAATGTTGGGCATGCGCACTAGTATACATGGTTGCCCTGCGGGTCCATTTTCGTGGTTAAGTCAAATTCAGGTGCTGAACTATGTCGTCGATATTGCTCTGTTCTTCCTGGAGATATTCCAGAAGAAGAAGATTCTGTTGTAAGCCCGACAGCAGGGTGAGTAGCATTAGCAGCACCATTGTTGTTGTGATACTGGTCGCGCATGCGTGTTTAGAGGCAACGCTATGACGCATGCTTGTAAAAAAAAATATGCGGTTACAGCGTAAAGATGGAAACGCGAAAACGGCGTTTCGAAATCTTCCCACTCTGAAGGCTGAATAAAAAAAAGATCGTTTACAGACCCCCGAAACGCCGGCTTCGTGTGGATGAGAGGCTGGTTTGGTGAAAAATTTGTGCGTTTAGGCCAGGGTTCGTCTTCGTGTGGACGGGGCCTAAATAAAGACCGCATGGATGATAGTGTTAAAATTAAAGCATAAACATGTCTCCTTAGGCTGCAAACTTAGCAGATGAAAACGATGCAAAGTTTGCTTGTAACACACACCAATAAAAGGAGCTATTTGTAAGCATCAACTGTTAGGAATCACACTTCCAATTGGCTTTACCTCCGTTCTCCATAATGTGCCCAGACACCTCTGTCTCACCAGTTTAAATCCTAAAGGAAATGTTTTTTTTTGGACCAATTCAGACCAGCTTAAAGGAGAAGTTCACTTTTTTACACTTTAAGCCCATTTTCTGTAGTTTCCAGGATGAAATCGAATGATCGACACCAAAATTTTGACAATTGCTCCTGTCTCTGCTTTTTGGCTCATTTAGAATCCACCCCTGGCTGCTTTAGAATGGCTTCCATAGAGCATGTCCGATAATGTCCTTAAAACAACCTTAAACGTTCTTCTTTTTAAATATGCTACTCACCAGGTCGTCAGCGCTGTTCAATGACGTTCCAAAAAAAGTTTCGTAAAGAAAAAACGTTCCTGTAGTGTTTTATTTAGCATTTTGTAAATCCCATTGAGTTCTGTTGGAATAGTCAATATTCCCCTGCCACCGGAAACGGAAATGGGGCCTGTTTACACAGTTGTAGTCTTTTCGCTTTACTCTGTGTACTCCGACGTCGAGGTGCTAACGTCTCTGTTAAACACTTTAAAAAACTCTGAAAATGGAATACGAAAGGTGGATTCTTGATTCTCGACGTCGGAGTACACAGAGTGAAGCGAAAAGACTACAACTGTGTAAACAGGCCCCATTTCCGTTTCCGGTGGCAGGGGAATATTGACTATTCCAACAGAACTCAATGGGATTTACAAAATGCTAAATAAAACACTACAGGAACGTTTTTTCTTTACGAAACTTTTTTTGGAACGTCATTGAACAGCGCTGACGACCCGGTGAGTAGCATATTTTAAAAAAAGAACGTTTAAGGTTGTTTTAAGGACATTATCGGACATGCACAATGGAAGCCATTCTGAAGCAGCCAGGGGGGGATTCTGCATGAGCCAAAAAGCAGAGACAGGAGCAATTGTCAAAATTTTGGTGTCGATCATTCGATTTCATCCTGGACACTACAGAAAATGGGCTTAAAGTGCTAAAAAGTGAACTTCTCCTTTAATTATTCTCTTTAGCCTCTGAATTTATGATCCATGAACCCCTGACCTGATCTCACTACTATCCTCCCCCTGAAGTACAGAGTTTACTGCAATAAAAAATCTATATGCAGGTTCTAAACTGAGCTTGAACTGTGAGGCTGCTGTTGAACCTGTATTTAGAAATGTTGGCAGACCTTTGAAAAGCTGGAAGTTACGGTTCTACATTCTCTGAGGACATTTACCATTCACAAATGGTAAATGTGTCTCAATAAACTAGATGAATCTTTGAATTTCGATCAGCTCAGATATTTAACAGGCAAATGAAAGCATCTCACCTCAAAGCGCCTCAGGTACTCTTGAACAACACAGTCCCTGATGTGGTCGAGCCGCTGCCCCTGCACTGGGCTAATGCTTCCGAACAGCCGCAGGTTCTCACAAATGGTTCCCACCTGCAGTTTGTGGAAGTAGGAGCACAACTCTTCGTGCTGCTTCAGAAACGTCTTGGGGATAACTGAGCTAGGGAAAAGAGCTTCTCGATTGGCCATATTTGGTCCATAATTACGGATCAGTTTGGAGAGCAGGGGCCTCACCGCCTCCTTACCATCATAGTTCAGACAGACGACATAAACCTCAGAGTTTCCTGCTTTGCTGGTGGCAGGTTTGAAGACACTGACAGAGTGGAAGCAGCAGTTCAGCAGGTAGAGTAAGCAGACTGAGGAGTGTTCATACAGGGTGAACATCTTCAGCACAAAGGAACCCCCAGGGCCCAGGAGGAGCAATGCCGCTGTGGCCTCACAGTAATGCAGGGATGCCACCAGAGCCTCCTGCTCATCGGGGTTCTCCTGACAGTCAAAGCTGCCGTCGGCCGTCACCAAATCCACTCTGCGCATGTTAGAAACAAACACCTGCAGATCCAGCAGGTGCTTCTGGAGCATGATGTCCCCCGTGTTGTCTGAGCCGAAGAACCACCAAGGCAGCGTGTTGGCGATAAGCCGGTCATCTGCGATGGTCGTGCTCCCACCGTTTGCCTCATGGTATGGGTTGAGAGTGTTGGCGACCCAGCCCCAGTCACAGTAGCGTGTGGACTCATTCGTTTTCATGTAGTGATTTAAAGCAGTAATAAAGGCTCCAGGAGCTTCACACAGATGGACAGAGTTCAGTTCCCCGTTTTGAAGAGCCTCCTCTGGTAGAAGATCAAAGCTTCCCAGGATCTCGTAGAATTTGCACCAAGCCTGAGTGCAGATCTCCGCGTTAGCAGTGGAGCGAACGGCAGCAATCACCTTCCCGGCTCTGTTGGTGGAGTTGGTGTGTTGATGCCACACTTGAATGTTCTTATCACTCAGCTGGTTCTTCACTGCATTGAGAGACACCTTCAGCTCCTGCAGGTGTGGGTGCTCCTCCGTTGGGTGTTTGAGAGCCACGTTTGGGTCGGGGATCCTCCATTCCTCTGCCTTCATGTAGGTTTTAACTTTGTTGAAAAGATCCTGGATCTCTGCCTGCGTTTCAGGATCAGACAGTGATGGCTGCTGCCTGAGGACCTTCCTTCTTGAGACATTGCCTGAGCTCATCCTCCACACTGATCCTCCACTAAAAAGAGTGAGGAAATTATTGTGATTATAATCCACACATGTGCCATCAAATTGTTATATATGACAGCCTGGAACTATAATTACTGAAAAGGCTAACACAGAACAGGTAACATTAAGTCTTCACCCAAAAACTAATAATCTGAACAAATAAAATGAGGATTTTTTCAGTTATACTAAATAGCTCCGTTACTGTTTATAGGGTTTTCCTTCTTTTTCTCCCCACATAAAATGCATTTTGATGACAATGAACTATGGAAAACAAATTTTTCCAAACAAGATTCACAAACAATCTGATTAATCGATTATTAAAATATTTGTCAACTAATTTAGCAATTGATGAATTGTTAAATGGAGTATAGAGACTGTAAAACATGCCTATAGCTGACAGGGCAACTCACTTAGGGCAGTAATTATATCAAAATTGTAAAATAACATATTGATATTTTGCATTTAAGGCAGGCAGCTATACACCTACATGAACACCCGAATCACTGAGTCACAGTTTCCAATCTAGAGTTATAGTGCGTTAACCCTAGAAACAAATTAAGACTCCACTTTTAAACACTCGGGTTCCGCAGTTCCTCCAAGTGCAATGAGGCCATCAGTAGACTGAGGTAGGAATGAGCGACCGTAACCGCCGGGACCGCCCTCACATCAGCTGTCAGCATCTGCTTCAGCCATGTTAATCAGCAGGTTTCTTTAGCTGATGTTTAGGAATCGTGCCCCATGTGTTTTCTCCCACACGTTTACATTTGATCACTGCTGCACTTTAGGAAACAGAAATGTTTATTTCACTGCTAAAGCTGCAGCTCATTTACTGTCTAAAAGCTGTACAGAACAAAATGTTGTTTTGTATACACTATGTGTATACAAAATGACAATAAAAGTTGTCTAAGCAGTAAAATGATGATTTGTTGTTATTTCAAGATAAGCTTTGGCAACATCTTTTCATCGAAGTGGGCAATGAGATCTAAAGTCCCACAGTTGATGCTATCTAGGAGGTGCAGAGATACCTTGCAGAGACCATTATAAAAGGTTTCAGGATCCTCTGAGATACTGGGATAACCAAAATACAACAATTCCAAACCTCTTCCAACCAGAGGCATGGCCAGAAAATTTAAATAAGGGTGGCCAGGCAATAACCAATGTACACTGAGGGGTCAATCTACACTGTTCCAAAAGGAAAATGAACAATCACAACATCCATATTTTCTAAATAAAGACAAACTATACTCCCCTTCCAGCCTTTGCTAACAAATAGACGCATATATTTAAACATCCATGTTGTCTAAATAAAAGTGTAGTGGACAAAATTCTTTCAGTTTTGAGTTATGGCACGGACATCTTATTTATTGTCATTACTAGCCTACTTTTATTAATAATTATTCAGCATAAAATGTATATTTACATGTTCTAATATATATAATAACTAATAATATTACTTATTATTAAAGTTGTTATTTATCTCAGTGAAGTTTCCTAGATGACTTGCAGAGACATAATTTCCTCTTTACACCATATAAGACAATATGTTGTTCATAAAAGAGCATTAATTTCGTATTTATCTTTAATGTTAGTAGATTGATGTGCATAGTTAACCCCATGAGTTTTGTTGTCAGGTAATTGTTTACATATATAAAATGTAAATGTTAAATAAGTTAGAAAATTCCACTTGAGAGTATTACTGCTTTCACCGTCTGTATTATAGGGAAAAATGGCCACCCCTGGCCCCCCATCTAGCTCCACCCTTGCTTCCAACTTTCTTTACAGTTTCTCTGGACTCCATCCTCATCTGTGCTGTGAGAGCTGCTGTCTGCATAATAATAAAATAAAATAAAAATCCAAGTCCACGAGCATCCTCATTCACATGCTCACTTAAATGTTCACGATACATTTTTACATAATATAATGGCTGCATCTAAAAAAAAAAGAAATCTAAGACAATGACAACATTTAAGATATACAATTTTTTTCTAAGATTGTACGATTTATTTAAATAAGTATATGAATAAGAAAATAAGTGCCTATCAAACAGATTGCCTACAGGGATTTTAAATGTCCAGCAGGGATCAGTATTCAGTGACACAGTATCAATACAGTTTGCCAATGTGTCGAAACGTTTCACGATGACTCATGAACCGACAAACAGATGCAGTCTTTTTATCCCAACACCCCATTTAAGCTTTATTCCCTCCGGGAAACGTATATGTCTCTCAGCTCTGTGTCAATTTGAGTCAAAACCAGGTGAAACCAACCAACAAATACTCACCGAGCTGATGTGCAAGAAGGAAACGGAACACCCCACCCACGTGACCTAAATCATGCTTTGCGCATGCGCGAAACCGATCCTTTGTTCTTAAAGGAGCTGGAGAGTTGAAACGAATTGTCACAAATACATTTTAAATCATTTTCACTCAATCAATGAGAATATAACCAATATAATTAGTCAATTAATTTTTAAATTAAAATGGAAATTGTCATTCCAAAGATAAATAGATAGAAATATCTTCTTTTTTGTCTTGTATAAATGGTTGGATTAATTAGGGACCAATTTTGAGCATTTTTTTTTTTTATTCGTGGTACAGATAATTAGAATAGAATAGAATAGAATAGAACATATTTATTGCACCACAGTGGGGAAGCTTAATTTTAAAATATTAAAGAAATATTTGTTTATAAAAATGTATTGGAACTTTGAGGATTACATGTTTAGAAAGTAGAATATAACAGAATATGCAGAATGTCTGCAATACTCAAAGGCTTATTTAATCAGAACTAAACATAGTGGTGGCTATTAGATGTTCCAGATTAGACTAGATGCTGTTCAAGTCCTGTGTGAGAGTAAAAAGCCGCATCCAACCTCTCCTTATGTGTTGTATCATATCATTGTCACTCGAGTGGTTATGTTTCATGGTGGCTGGTCCGCTGATGAAATTGTCATGTTGAAGCATATGCCTTTCCCAGATGCTACATAGCTTTTTTAGAAACTGACAGAGGTAGATGCAGTCTTTTCCTATTAAAATCTTATAAATTATTTAATGTACTTCAAGAGTCAATGGTTCAATGAAAATTATACATCGTAAATTTAATCATGTCAGTTTAAATTGAAGGTAAAATTTGAAAACCAATCAAATGTTGAACAGCCACCTCTATCTAGGGATGAATGTTGAGGATGACAGTTATTTTTAAGCTCTAACTAGATAAGGGAGCATTCTAGGGATGAGCAGCAATCACAGTGAACATCTGCTTTCTGTCACAGTGATGCTAACGAGTCAATCTCCTTCCTGACAGATGCTGTCTCACAACAAATGCTCACCCCACCTCTCTCCGTCCAAACATGCGTCTTCTGAAATATGACAGATATAAGATCAACCTATGAATAAGATAAAAAACAACAACAACAACAACAACAACAACAAAAAAAGCTGCCAAATCACTTCTGGAGTTGAGATGTACTCATGAGTTTACAATATAAACAGACTCATAGCTTTTTAAGATATCGTCCCTACTGTGTTTTTTTAGGATTATTACCAAAACCACTAAAAGAATTCTAAAGATTGTCCAATACAAATCCATAATGGAATGCCCTGGAAATGCATCTCTTGTAACAGAAAAGTTGCAGTTAATGTAGTATAGAAAATATGCACCTTAATAAATACATTTTGCGAGAGAGTAAAGACTGCAAATTAAAAAGGACTAAACTTTCAGTTTTTTTCTAATTGTGCCTATCAATAAACTAATATTTGTTAGACTCAATTTTTAATTTTTTTTAATTTTTTTAATTTTTTTTTATTAAACTATGAAGTTTCTTTGCAGGAATTTGTAATTGAAAAAAAAAAAAAAGATGTGACATGATGAGTTTTCTTCCACTTTAATTTGAAATTTATCTCCCAATGTCATACTATGCTTGATTTGGATGGATGCTTGAGCTCTTTACAACGATGAAATTCTTTTATCCTTAGTTGGTTTTTTTTACAGACTCCTGAAGATGACAGCTGACTAGTATTTTGATATGTTAATAATTTTGACTGACTTGGCAAGAACCTCATCTATATCTACACATAAGTCTTCCCGTAGCATGGTGAGATAATTTTTTTAAAATGTGGCCCATATTTTAACGTAAGGTTTTGCCAGTTGGTAATACATTTCCCCAAAAGATTTGCATAGTTTTGCTATGATTGAAAAAATAAAGGTATTTCATGTAGTCTTTATTCTTAGTCCAAATACATCAAGAATACAGCACCTTGTTGTTGAATACAACCTGCACTGCTTAGAATGTCCAATAGCTTCAGCTTTGTTCTTAGCCTCCTGGCAACTTGCCTGATCCGTTTCAGTCTCATCTTTCCATGTCTGGGTCCACATGAAGACCACAATCAAGAGAAGTCAGAGATTCTCTTTAATTTTCATATGCGATTTGTACATGTACACTTTAGTTTGCAATCAATGTTTATTGCTTGATATAAATACATTTGCCTTGGTCATCAGAATACTTATTTAGTATACTAATGTATTTTATCAACTCACTCTTCATCTTTGGCTTGTGACCTTTACTGATTTTTTTTTTCTGGTTTCTTGTCTTTTCTGTGAACTCTGGGAGTTGGATATAAAATGTAGAATGTGCAGGGCTCAGAGCAGCTTAATACAAAAAGGGGATAACTGGACTGCACCGTCCGCTCCTGCTATAGAGCGGGGACTAGGCCAACACTTGAGGGGAGTGTGATTGTGCTCTGAGGTTCCTGAGCAAGTCCCTTAACCCCACCATACTCCCCGGCTCCGCACAATGGCAGCCCACTGCTCCCCAAGGGGATGGGTTAAATGCAGAGAGTAAATTTCAATGCTTTGTACTTGTGACAGTCTACAACAATAAAGTAGAATTCTATTAGGCATATTAAAAGCAGCTTTATAAAAAATAAAATAATCTATTTAAATTTCAGTATAGTTTTTTTCCTTCTTTTGTGTTAAAAGTTTTACATTCCATTAACCTTAGAACTGGGAAGCTTAAGTGACATTATTTCCAAGGTGACTGTGATCCAATTTCCAGCTTTAGGAGGCCTAGTGACCATTAAGAAGGTTATTGCATCAATAACAATGATAAAACAAAAACTGCAGCATACAGTACATGTGCATGTTAACCTTGTCTCATAAACAGTGGAAAAGTAGCAGCCTGTATATTACTGATAAGGTGTCAAGTACTGTATATGCAGTGGTTGTATGATGTTTAATTCTAATATTAGTGAGATGGACGGACATGGAGACATTGGATAATGTAAGAAGCCTTTATTTCTAACAGCTAAATGGCTAAATCATGTTTCATATCAAGAACATGATTGTTAAATCTTTGAGCCATAAAAATCTTTTCCTCTGTTTAATCATATTTGAATCGGAGCAAAGTGTATGGATAGGGCCACAAGGACCTTTGTCATTTAATGTGTGTAAACACCCACAGGCCACTCAGGCTTACACTACATCCATCCAAAAATTTGTCCACTGTAGTATAAATTCATGCCTGCGGCAGGGGGTGCTGCGCCTCCATACGCTTTAATACGGAAGCATGTCAACACTCTGCGGTTCATTACATCAATGTTAACACCGAAGTTGAAATTTTTCTCTCCATGCATGTGATCCACGTTTGTCGGGCCAGATTTATATCTTACCACAGTGAACCATTACAGATGAAAGGTGGTGGGTGCAGAATGGGCTGTGATGTGGCATGAACTTATGCAGAAAAAAGAAAGAAAAGTCACTCTGATCCACAGTTCACTTCCTCTACACTGCAGAAGAGCTGCATGGGGAACCTTACTACTGTCAGACAGTGGATAAAACTTTCAAAAACTCTTGATGTTACTCCAGGATTTGATATTTACAAATTAGTTGTTTTTGTGTACCATTGTACCATTGTTTTCAGTGTACCATTTTAATTGTTTCTTTTTAATTGAATCTTTTCTGGAGATAAAGAGTAGAATTATTAGATATTTTTTTCTATTACAATTTAAGAAAACAAAAAAAATCCTTATTTATAGCATTAAGGGGAGACATGCACAAAACAAATCTAAACATTTATGTATTTGAAGTTATTTTTGATTTGTCTTTGGTTGTAAGGTTGTGTCCAATGTGCTCTCTCAGGGCCACATTGTATTTAGCTCCATTGATTTTACTGCAAACTCTGAGTAGATTTCATCCCCACAGCACCAAGCTGCCACCCTCATGCTTTACCACGGGACGACTGCAAAAACGATCTAGAAATAAGTAAAAATTTCTTAAAGCTACAGTGTGTTATAATTTCAGGGATATACAGTCAGAAATGTAATATATTATACATAACTATGTTATTTATCATCATCTACGTGCTCAGCCTCTTAACCTTAATATTTGCATTGCCTTAGAATGCGTTATTTATAATTACATAGGAGCGGGTCTCGCAGCCATGGAAGCAGACATCTTTGCGCTACGGCAGCGCAGAGCCAACAAACTAGCGATTGCGATATCGCCCATTACGCTCGAAAGTAACTACGGCAAGTTGAGAGAGATGAACTGAGACGGTACTGAACAATAGATACTAAATACTACTATAGATACTAATAAATACTATCTGTAAAATTATCTATGTAAACAAACCTCATCACTTGAGAAGGTAGGTGATGCGGACGTCGTGGAAGACATTTTGTCCCGTACTGTTGGGGGGGAGAAGCGGTGGGGGGGAGATGTTCATGTTGCTGCGGTCTGCAGTCTCTACGTTAGATGTCGCTGAAAATTACACACTTAAGCTTTAAATGAAGTGTATTCACCCTTAATTTGAGTAGGTAAATGAGCTAGTTTGCCAATGGAATGAGTAATTTTACTCTTAAAATAAGATAATTAGATAACATGCACTTGAAATAAGACAATGCAATTGTGTTTTCTTATTTTAAGCATAAATTGTCTTGTTCCATTGGCAAAATGTCTCTTTTACCTCCTCAATTCAAGAACAAATGCACTTATTTTAAGAAAAAAGGACTTATCTAGATTTAGATTTTTTGCAGTGGCAGCAACATTTGTGCTCTGCAGAAATGTTTAATCCTTGTCTAAAGGGTGAGACAGTCAAAAATAACATTTATCTGTTGACAGGTCCTCTTAAGCAGAGATTACCAAATCTTTTCAGCTTCTAATCCACTAAATAAAACCAGAAATGTCTCACGATCCAAAGTATTTGTTGGAATACAAATAAAAAAACATATATATCAACCTGTAATAAAAACAGCATCGACAACCGTTTTATAAGGTTTTGTTTATTTCTTAGTGATGCTTCTATGTCTTTAATCGTATAAATATGCTTTATC